AAATAGGGGGAACTGTCATATTTTGCGCCATACTTTGTTTTTTTTTTTTTGCATTTTTGGTTTTAGTTGGTACGTGATTTTTCGCAAAAGGCTGCACTGAAAAATTTTTGTTTTTATTTTTTATTTTGCCTTACACTGCAATTTCGTCTTATTATATCTACATATATGTAAATGTGTGTACGTGGTATATTTTAATAAAGCGTCATACATGTCAGACGCCTCTCAACAAAGGCATAAGCAGCAGGTCTATCCTTCGCATGCCAAAACATATATTTATTCATACTTACATACACACATACGTATGTACTTCTGTACTTACCATTATATTTAAATAAGTAGTACGTGCATCCATATTCATATGTATATATATGTATATGCATTTTGTAGCTTTTGCTGCGCATCTTCCCTCCAATGTCTGTCTGTCTGCTTACTTACCTGATTATTTGTGTCCACTCGTCGTCTGCAGCAGCCTGTTTGCCTCCTGCCGGGCTGTCTGCAGCGCATTCGTGATATGAATAAGAACTGACAGCTGTTTCCACCTTTTAAACGCATTTAAATGCATCGGAAAAAAATATTTAATCATAAGACAACAACAACAACAATGAAAAACAAAGAACAAAACTAAAATGTGGTTTGTTGTGAATGCATTTTAGTGTAGAATACAAACCAAAGTGGAAGCAAGTGTGTACGAAAAATTAAATAAATCGCATGCCAAAAAAATATTTATACGTATGTACGTACGTACATCTGTGGTCATAAGCAATAACCGGCTAAGTCGAAAAACCTAAATTCGAGAAAAAACGCTTTAAACATTTCGATTGTAATGTTTACCTTTATTTTCTCTTTCTTAAGTCGGCCTAGGCGGTTATTGCTTATTTATGACCACAGACATATGTATATTATAATAGGCCCATTCAGTATCAAAAAATTGTTACGAATTGTTACTAGTACTTGCAAGTTTTTACTGGAAATGCATTCAATAACCCAAAATATTTGCAAGAGAGAGCGAATTCGAGAGCGTAACAACCCGAGGGAGCTGCAAATCCTTGCAAGTAAAAATTTTACTAGCAGGAATTTGCAGGAGTCAAAAAGTAAGGTTATGTTTCAAATGCAAATGTAAACAAACTGTTTAAGAGGATGATTTGATGAAACATAATTAGTGAAATGAAAATATGGTTAAAAATTTTAGATCTATTGTATATTTTTTTTATTCTTATTACGATGGGAACTATTCCCAATTAAAAAGAAAATTGCGCGCCAAAACTTAACCGCCAGAAAGTGTCAAAATGGCTTAAGTTGCAAGTTTTTACTGGTTTTGCGTTCAATAAGCTTTTCTGAAAATTTTCTCTTGCTCTCAATTTTTCTTTTACGCTCTCGCTGCAAGTACTTACTGGAAAAGTTATTGAATGGACCTATTGTTGTACGTAAACTCAAATCCTTGGGTAAATTTTTATGACATACTTTTCGTTCTGCAAGAGTAAACTTCTTATAAATATTTTCAAATATACTAGGTTACCTTCACCCACCTGGTTGAGTGTATATATGAAGACTTAACGTGTTTAATTCAATAAAACTCAAACTAAACAGAGATTTTCACATTTTTCTTTTTGTCTAACCCCCTTAGGCCTCTTTTGCCTGGCATCCATATTTTGATACATATTTCAATAAACTAAATCCCTTAATTCAAGTGGAATTCTAAACAGTTGGCAACCCTCCCACATATAATTTTCAAAAATCCTTATACTGATACGCATGTTTTAATAATCCATTTAACTTATCAAACGATTTAAATTTAACTTTTTAAAGAGTTAAAGTTGCCAACATACACCTAAAAAATATTCTTAATGTTACAAGCAATTTTTTTGCATTTTTTACCCATATTTGAATAATTTAATGGTAATATTGTAATGATTTATTTAACATTTTAAATAATTTCAATTTATATAATTATAGACAGTAGGCAACCCTCTTCGAACACCTCATAAATATTCTAATGTTCAGCTAAAGATTTGACAGCCACGTTTTAAAATTGTACATAACTTGTGTGTAATTTAATTAAATTAAGCAGGTGGCAACCCCCTAAAAATATTTTCAAACTAAAGCCTTCTAAAAGATCTTTATTCTGATATACATGTGGTTCATATTTGAACTACCTAATTCTCTTAGTTCAAGTTGAATTAGACTCTTTAAACAGTGGCAACGCTTATTCATGTAGTCTTCTTATAGTAAGTCATTCAACTTAATTGAATAACATTTTATAACATATGGAAATTTCAATTTCCTGGCAACCTTCTTCAAAATATTTTAGAACGTCAGCTTTCTTAAATCTCCTTCGTTTGATACCCATATTGTTATATTTCTTTTCATTTATCTAACGAGATAAAAGGAATTTAATTTCTCAAACAGGCGGCAACCCTCTGCAAAAACAAACTTTTTTCAATGAGCTCTCTTAAACCCTCTAGCATTTGACACCCGCATTCCGATGTTTGATCAATGCATGAATGATGATGAATTTAATTTCATTTTACTCCTTAAACAGATGGCAACTCTCTTTAACCTAGAGTCTATCGATTGCAAATATTTAGCAGCTTCTCTTTTGTATACATATACACACATATTGACGGTACTTTAGCAAAACCTCGTATCTCAGAAATCACTACCATATCGTATCTCGAAAAATTAATTCAAAATAGGCCTTAAAATACTTTGATTCGTTATATTTTATTTTTAATTAATCATTATTATTCAGATCAGGAAGTTATTAAAATTGATATTTGGTTATTTATAGAGAGTTTTGTGTTAGAGAGTATTTTGAAATGCGATGTTTTGCCAAAGTACCGTCGACATATGTCATAAGCTAAGATGGTTTATGTAATTTAATTAATAAATCTTCCTTTCGACTTTTTTTCTTGACATTCTTGGTGTTCTAAATATTTTTTACGACATGTTTTGCCCAATGTTTTTAGGGCCGACATTTTAAATTTCGACACATCGCACCAATTCTATTTACTACATTATTAAGTAATTAATTTTAATTTAGTTGGCAACTCTATTCACTAATATAAGCCGCAAAATTAAAATATTTATGCCTCTTTTTTTTACTCGTATTTATGAATATACATACAAACGTGTGCATTCTAAATTCAATCTCTTATAAAACTCATTAATTTTTCCACACATTCATCTCATTTCCTTCTTTTTTCGCAGGTCACCGACACCAATGATAATCCGCCGATTTTCGATGAACCCGTTTACTCCTTTGACATACCCGAAAACGCCCCACGTGGCTATCAAGTTGGTATTATTGCCGCCACCGATCCGGATTTGGGCGATAATGCGCTCGTTTCGTACACCGTCATTTCGGATTGGGCCAATGATGTATTTAGTTTGAATCCGCAAACGGGCGTTTTCACTCTGACAGCACGTTTGGATTATGAAGAGGTGAGTGATGTTGCGTTAATAAGTTTCCTGAAATGACCAGAATGAAAGTTTTGTTTTTAAGCTTTTGCAATTATTGCCGAGTAAATCAAAATGTAAACGAAGTGCAATTTTAGTGGCACAAATGCTACGCAATCAAATTACGAAACGCTCGCATGTTGTTCTTTGAAAGCTTAAGCAAGATTTTTCTTCTGCGTGCATCGCATATAGGTCTATAATCGCTCTAAAGCAATCAAAAGATTAGCTTATCGCAGTTTTGACAGAGAATTATGCGCGCGAGGAATTTCTTTGAATATTTCTTAAATTGTTCATGGGTTATCATGGATCAGACACTTTCCTGGAATAGCAAATAATATTCATGCAGCAGTTAAGAAATATGTATATCTCAAAATAAATCTCCGCAGACAACTGATATCCAACCCTAAAGCTTCTTCGTGTGTTTTAATGCAAGATAAGCCGAATTTTTGTTGTTTCAGTTGAGAAGATTGTACTGAGATGATTTCACCTCATCATCCACAAAACAGCTACAGCAATAGAAATGATATTAAGTCCCACCGCAGGGCTTCCTATTAAACGATGACCGTCCAAGACTTATTTTATTTAGAACATAGAGTTGGCGCTTAGCGAACTGAAAAAGCTCTTTCAGTTGTTCCTTGGTAGACCAGCGGCCAGAAGGAGTTTGCAATCGTGCATTTTAAAGTTTTCACACAGAGCTCACTGACCCGACTAAAAACTCATCTGTTCAGGAGCAGTTTGCAGTTTGCGTCAGAAACTTCTATACACTTTCAAAGAAAATGTCCTTGGAGGTTACTTACCGATACAGTTCATATTTTTATTCAAAATTTTGTTTTAGTAATTCCAATCGCCTTACGGCTGCTTGACTATTTTCAATCACATCCCTAGAGCCCTGAATGGTTTGGCTGTCAGATTGGATATTCACATTTGGAATCAGCCCAAAACCGATTACAGCGTCAAGCAAGAAGATAAAGAAGCACACTGATTCTACACTACAAAGTACATAGTCGGTCGACTGTATCCTTTATATCGAAAACAAGCTGCAGAAATCCCGAAACTTTAACTTGAAATTAACAGGAAGTTCCCCAAACTTTCGACCCATCCATAAATATGCCTACTGGGACTCTATTGAAAAAAATGGAACTCTACTATTCACCACTATTTAAGAGAGATGTGTGTGTGGAAAGGAATCCAATCGGCGCGACCACCGACTGAATTCGATGTTTCCAGAGATAGTCGATTGCTCACACGCCGGTTCGAAAAAAAACCTAGTGCTTTTTAGCCGGATGGCGCTTTTGCTAAATTGTAGATCAACTAATACCTTTTTTCACGCTCCTTAATACTTGACTTCCATGACTGCCCTGTCAATGACAACGTTCAAATACAGACTGCATAAGTAGAACGCCACCCATGGGCGTCGCTACGTAGGGCCAGGGGTGGGGGGGGGGGAGGCTCGAGCCCCCCCCTAGACTTTGAAGTTTGCCTTATATGTAGCTATACAATTTTCGATTATTACCGCAGCGACCACAAAAATGCAGTTGCCAATATAGCAACTCAGTTGCCAGCTTGCAGTTGCCATCTGTAAAACCATTTCAGTCAGTGGCCACCCAACTGAAGTCAGTTGCCATATGCCTAAGTCAGCTCAGCTCGATGTTTTGGTCACATACATAAGTAAACATTTTCGTGACTATCTCTTCTTATTCTGGTACTTACAAATATCGGACCAAAGTTATAATACCATTTCATGCTCATGAAAGGTATAGTTTTCAGATTTCAAATTGGTGAAGTAGGTAACAAAATATAAATTTAAACATCTTCTTAACTATCTCTTAAAATGTCATTTTCAAAAATTTCATGCATTGCTATGCCATGTCATTCCATCTCAAACATACTGTTATAGCTACGGTGACCATCCGTTCTGTTTTTTGCAGGACCGTACTGTTTTTCAAAGGTCGGTCCTGCGTAGTTTTTCAAATCTGAAAAACCTGAAAATGTACTGATTTTTCCCAAGTGTCCCGCATTTGTCCCACATTTTATTCGTTATTTTAAAATTATCGGACAATGGATGGATTTTTTCAAAAAAGTGATTTTTGGTACTTTTCGTAGCTTTTCTTCAATATCTCATGAAAAAATTTCCCAATCAACGTAAGCGACTTACAGCTCGAAGGGTATGGATGTGCAATTTTTGACAAATAACTGCGAAAAGTACCAAAAAAACAAAAAAAAAATTGTATTGTTTACGTTTTGAACGACTCAAAATTTGCCTATAAAATAATATTTTAAAGATTTTCACTTTTCGTGTAAGCTATTGTAATTATAATATGTTTTACTATACTTTTATAAATATTCATGTAAAACAAGATTAATATCGATGAAAAAACGTGATTAATTTTTAAAGTTTAAAATGTATTAATAAATTAGAATCATAAATACTCTTTTGATATTTTTATGCTACGTTAATATATATAGGCATATTTTTGAAAAATTGTCCTTCATTTTGAATCCATATTTATGGTCACCGTAGTTATAGCATGTCATTGCTTCTTAGCTCGGCTGTTGTGTTTCTGCAGTATATTTTTAATACTGTTTTTAATACCTGCCTTGTATGAAAATGTATATAAATTTTTAATTAGATAATTGTTTAATAAATTTTACTATAGTAGGAGCTTGCAAAATTCGGAAAATCTCTTCCCGTATATACAATGTAAATAATAATGCTGAATAGGTCGCATTTGTTCCTTGACATGCATAAATTTGATGCATGATTTGATTTGAATTTATTCGGCAGTGTCTTCGTATATCACTTTCAAACATGTATAAGCGACATGATATAAACTGGCACTTGCCTGATGTGTTACATGTCGCTATGTTTTGTAGTTCAGGCCTTTAGTATCTACATATATATAATTGCTCAGACATACGACTTAGTTAGGCCGATCTGTAGCAGCCACAGAATTGAGCTACATATATATCAAACTAAAGTGCAAGCTGCAGTTGCAGTTGACCGTGTTTGTCAAAAAAGTAAAAAGCGGCAGAAAAGTCGATAGTGAGTAATATAATCTATTGAAAAATATTAACCATATTTCCGTGGAATTGAGATTCGGAAAAGTTATTAGGTATTATTCATAGTTTTGAAATATATTTCACGAAAGCAAAAAATAAAAATAGCTGAGATCCCTTTCTTTTTTAAACACCTAAGATATCACTGACCATTAAAAAAGACCCTGAATGACCGCAAACCTCAAAGCTTTACACATTTTTGTATGTGATTTTTAAAATGAACGATCCAAAATTAGCCGGTATACATATTTAAATTTTTAGAACCAGTGGTTGAATTTTTTTAGTGAAAGGGGCGAGGCGTATACGGAATGGGTCGTTTTTTAATTTTAACACAAAATTGACTTTTTATTTCGTTGTTTTAAATAAATGTGGTTATAATTTTTATTAATAAAACTATGTTTTATTATTAGTCAAACTCACAACTTCAATATTTTTTAAAAAGTAAGGCAGGTCTAAGTATATTTTAGCTCACAGGTTATCTTTTAAGTACATAAGCCTCTAAGGCGTATGTTAAGGCCTTACGTTACTCCCAAATAGATTAGGCTTCTAGGGTTAAGAAAGCTTTAGTTTGAAAGTGTGATATTAAATGCGTTTCACCATAAACGGCGCAAATTTTCAATGATTATTGCGTTTCAGCTTAAGACTAATACCAGATATTGTGAAAGGTTGGACTATACCTTAAAGATGACGGTTTTCTCATGGCCCACTGCATGAAGCTTAGAGTAGAGTTATGTCTTTTAAGAACTTAAAAATTATCCTGGGTTATCAGGTGTCTAGCTTATACATAGTGTTGTTCCGATACGATCTTGTACTTGATACCTGTACTCTTTAAAAATATTGAAGAAAAGTATCGATGCCACAAAGGTATCGGAGAGAAGTACTCGATACTTACTCATATCGAACTCATTGTAAATACTTATGTCATGTGAAGAAAAACAGAATCGGTTCGAGTACTCTCCGACCAAAACTTACCGAAAAAGTACCCACTAGTTTGTATCTTGCAAAATTTTAATAATTGACTAGTACGGGAAAGCAGGAATTGACACTTTCTTTATTAGCCAACTTAACGTGGAGCAAAAACCACAACAGCATGATTCATATATTGTCAGAACCGAAATTCAGAATTTTTGGAAAAGCAAGTAATACTTTAATCGCGTACTCGATACCCACCTAAGTACTTGCGGGAAGGATTCGAGCAGAAAAAGTGCTCAGTACTTGAAGAAAGTATCGAGTAATTACTTGTAGTTACTCGTATCGAAACAACACTAGCAATACAAGATAAATTGTTGTCTTTCACGAAGTTCTTTAAATAAATTTTGCGCTAAGTACTCACCCGTATTTGGGGGGTTACTACTAGTTTTAATAAATTGTTACTTTAATTTCCTATAAAATTTACCTTTAGGTTTATGCATTTTAAGAATACATCGAAAATTTGTTTTACAGCCGCACTCAGAGTAGTTTGATGATTACTTAAGGTGTCCCTCAGTAACGATTTGAAAAAATTCCCTCTCAGAGTCAGTTAATGATTCGTTAACGGCATTTAATGAACATGTAAACAAAAACCTTTACTTAACTTTTTAACGAATAATTTTGAAATTTTTTGTTTGTTTTCAATTTCGATAACGTTGCTGTAACAGTGGCAATGGCCCAGTGAGCAGAGCACTTTCGTGCCATTCAAGAGATCCGAGTTCAATCCTCGGCAACGAATTTGTTTTTAATTAAATTTTTTATGTTTCATTGCTTAAAAAATTCATATTTTTTATTTTATTTAACGTTTGGAAACTTTTTTGATTCATCTTTTTTCGCCTTTTTTAGTTTATCCTGTTTTAAAAAAATATTTTTTTTTTCATTTCGTTTAGTTTTTAGAAAACTTATTGCTAAACGATAAATATAATAACACTATTAGCACATCTTTCAATTACTCATTCGAAATATAGAAACGAGCTTTCAAGATAGTTGCCGAAATATAAAGACTTTTGTCTCTCGAAAGACTGAGGTGAGTTGAAAGACGGATGCCAGAATTGGCCGGTTATTGGTCTTGTTTGTCTTTTAGCAAACGGTTTCTAAAAACTTTAAATTAAATTAAATAAAAAAAAAATGTTTCCTCTTTTTAGCAATAAAATCTATACATCAAAAGAAAATTAGATCAAAGAAGCAAAAAAATTCAATAAAAACAGTTTATAAAAATTCGCAAAAAAAAAATTAATAAATAAAAAAAGAAAGTAGAAAATTTTCCTGCCCTAGGACTCGAACTCGGATCTTTCGAATGGCACGCCAGTGCTCTGTTCACTCAGTCATTGCGTCTGTTGAGCCAGTGCGCGCAAAATGATATAAATAGTTATTTTTATATTTTATTTCAAACTGAACGAAAGAAGTGAGTGATGCCACAAAACTAAAGGGCCGCAACTGGGGCCATACCTAAATTTTTTATTTCATAATTTTTAACTCTGAGAGGAAACATTAATTAACAGCTTTAACGATCATTAGTTAAGTGCCCGTTAGAGGTAATTTAAGGTTTCTGAGTGCGGCTGTTAGAGAATAAATGTGAAATAATTGCAGAAACGATTAACCGGTTTGCTGAGCAACCGAGACGTCTGCTTTTTAAATAATTTTTGTAAAACTAATCGGCAAGTAAATATCGTCCCCCGCCTGCCATTAACATGAATGTGTAAAGTTGAAAATTTACTTAACTTTTCTTTATATGTCGGAAATCCCTCTGACAATAAGCGTCACGTCATCGGCCTGTTATTAAAATAAGCGATCCCCTGCGAGTTACCTTTAAGTAGGTTTTGACTCTGAGGGGTTTTGTCAGCGCCGATATCGAAGAAGGCACGAACCACAAAATAATTCTTCTAAAAGTCGGATCTATAACTTTCACAATTGTATGCAAGGCAGATTCTACTGATCTAACTTTCAGGCACGTATGCCAAGAGAAACTCAATCGCTCCCGAGGAATCCTGTTTCTTATAAACAATTCAATTAGTCTCTTTAGGATCTTTAGTAGGAAGTAAGATAGGCACATTGGTTGGACATCTTTCAAGGATACCTGACAGCTGTCTTGGGAATAAACTTTGCCCATACAGCCATCCAATACATATGGATACGAAGCACATGGTAAATGGGAGTCAGTCACCAATATGACATCTTCCTTGCAGTTCTGCATAATTAACACCATCAGCGTCTTTAGGCTTTAGTGACTTGAAAGAAAGTTAATAACCAAAGCAGGCGTAATTTTTCCAGTAGTTACCTAGAAGAAACAGCGCATACCATTGGCCACATTTACCGGTAGTTTCACACTATTCAGTATAGTTGTAAATTTTTTTCAGTCAAAATCAATGAGGTAAAACATGGCTAAAGATTTAGTGATAGCAGTGGCAGGACCATTTCTTTATACTGTAAGTGAAGGCACTGGGTAGAATACATACTAGCGCTCAGCGCAGTGGCCTTAACGTAAACCCAAGCAAAATTCTGTTATTACTATTTACTAATAGGAATAAGAATTAGACGTCCATTCGTAGGCTGGGACAGTATAATCTTGCTCTTCGCAAGCATTGAATGTAATCCTCAATATGATTCCCGCACATATATGCCTAAAGGAAACCGCAATGTACTCAGCTGTGCGACTCAGATAGTCTGGGCTGCGGAGATCAAGGACCCTCGGGTATAGCTCAATCTTGAGCCTTGCTTTGATTTTGGCTTGAATGTACATGTGCGATTTCCATCCAGAAGGGAATTTGGAAGGGGCCAAGCTGCCGATATGGAAGCTATCTGTATCTACACTGACGAGTGAAAGATGGACAGCGGTGTGGTGACAGCGCACATTCCGAGGAGCTTGGTGTTAATCGGTCCCTGACCGGCTGGCATATTTCATGCTGACATTCTGGGCACATGTGAAGCCTGTATTATATTAAGCAATAGTGCTACCAGGAAAGAAAGAGGGGTAGCACTCCTCTGGCAGCACTCCTAGCTATATTATCAACTAAAACTAAATCTAAGCAAGTCCAAGAATGCAAGATGAAGCTACGCTCGGCGTCTCAGTCATAGGAACATAGAAGGCAACGAGAGAGCAGACGAAGCTTGTTTGATTGAACCTGAAGTGGTGATACTAGGGTAATTCCATCAGGAAAATACGAACAGAAATACACTTGCACCTTCGGAAACTCGAAAGGAGGAGGTGGTTAGAGATCCAGGCTTGCAATCTTGTATCTTAATAGCTTTGACCTGACCTTAGTAGTAAAAGAACAGCAGATTCTAAGTAGATGAAAGGGTAGAAGTATAAGTGCAACTTTATATGCTAATTGAATCCTAAATGTAAACTTGGGTAGCTCTACAACCAACCAACCATAATAAAACCAGAGGCGGTCTGGATAATATGGAAACAATTTTTTTCAATTTGTCTTCCAAAAGATTAACACGGCGATGGCCCTTGGCTATACTTTAATTTAAAAAAAATTGTTTAATAATAGTTTTAGGCAGTCACCAAATGGTTAAGCCTTGAATTCAGGACACAGTAATATTTGTCTTATTTCGCATGAAATTTGTTTAAAAATAATAATAATAATTACCTCCAATTATTCTCTTCAAACAGGTACAACATTACATACTTGTGGTGCAAGCGCAGGATAATGGCCAACCCAGTCTCTCGACCACATTGACTGTTTACTGCAATGTATTGGATTTGAATGATAATGCACCCATATTCGATCCGATGAGTTATTCGAATGAGATATACGAGAATGTATCGATTGGTACACCGATTGTAACGGTCACAGCAACCGACATCGACTCAGGTAAGAAATGAAACTACGTTTTTAGAGTATAGAAAGTGCTTTTAAAGAAAATTGCAAGCATTGCGCACCGTAAAACGATACGTACTTAGACGGTTTATATCCTTAAGAATCGCAGAAGCTATAATAAATATAGTTAATTATAACATGTATTTGAAAAAAATAAATAAAAAGAAAATATTTACTAGCCGTGGCTTTTTTAGCTTCGCAAAATTCGCTTACAAAACGTTGACTTGATTTCACTCGCTTCACCGGCTTCAATCGCCTAAGTAGCTTTGCCTCTGAAAATGCACTAAACCATGCCACACTTTCCTACACGAAAAGTAACTTTTTACGATTTGCTGGCGCATTTGAAACGTTCTTCACCTATTGACCCACTAAACGGCAGCGGTAGTGTTTCAAATGTTTCGTGTGCCTATTTTTACGCTAAAAATAAAATAATAATCATAATATCTCTTAACTGGCATACGTTGAAACTACTGTGTCAAGCAAACAACAAAAACACACATATAAGGGAGCCACAACAACAATAACAAAAAGTATGCGGAAAAATGAGCATCTCACGATTTATGACTGACACCTTTCCACAGCTTCAGCTTCAGCTTCTGTTTGCGCATTTGTGGCGTTTTTGTCTACCTTTGGTTGAGTCGTCGCGCCATTTATTCGTTTATTATCTTTTTATTGCTGCTTTTCACTACTTATTTACTACTTTTTTTAATTCACTGTGCTAAATTAAGCTAAGAATGTTGATGGTGGCAGCAGGATTAGAACCCTAATAGTTTGGGGCGGCAGAAAGGGCGAGAAAGGTGCAGAAAAGAGGCAGACTAGTTTGAGTTTGTAGAACAAAAAAAAAAAATTTTTAAGGTGTGTACGAAAACCGCATACAAAAAGTAGATTAGCATGAGCTATGCTACTGCAAATGAGTTTTTGAGTAATTTTCACAACTTGCAGGCATTTACATTAGAGTGGTCCAAAAAAAGTAAAGTCGGAATTTTAATGCGCTCACCCCAAGGATTGTTCTATATCGAAAAAATATGTCCCATTTTTTTAATTTGAAATCAAAAAATATTTAGAGGTCGCACAAAGTCTTCCATGTATTTTATATGGGATAAAACATCTGTGCGTGGAAATGGTATAGAATTCTTGCAAATCAATATTTTTCGATCGGAAAACTCTGTTTGTCTTCAGGAAACTTCCAATAACAACACTCAATTGTTTCTTTGACCACTTTTTAATACAAACGATTTTTTATTTATCCCCCATTTCATTTTCTGGCTTTTCTAGGGGTTTGGGCGGACCTATAAAATAAAGTTACTATGAAAAAATGGTAAAAAGAATAATTGGGTATTATTATTCTATATCTCCTGAAGAGAAACAGAGTTTTGCGGCTGAAAAATATTGATTTTCTAGAATTCTTTACGATTTCTACGAAAAGTTGTTTTTTCTCATATAAAAAAAAAAATGAAAAACTTTGAGCGCTTTGAGCGACCTCTAAATATTTTTTAATTTACCCTTAATTTTTTCATGATCCAATTTTCGGATCGAAACCAGATTAGTATGGGGCTACCTCTGTGACACTACCTTTCCGATGCAAGAAGAGTTTTCGAAATCGGGTGACGTGGTCCAAAGTTATGCGGTAACATACATAAAAAACAAAAAAAAATAAAAATTTAAAAAATTCCGACGAATTGATAACCTCCTCCTTTTTTTGGATGTCGTTAAAAATAGAGGTATATTCTTTCGATATAGAACAATCCAAGGCGGTGAGAGCATAAAAATCCCGACATTACTTTTTCACATGAATTTTTGGACCACGCTAATGTACATATATAAGTAAAATACCGGAACACAATAGTTCTGGTGAAATTCACTGAGACAATTGCCTTAGAATTATGTATGTATAGATGTGGTGTAAATTGCTTTGTAATAATACTCGTATAAGAAACTTATAAAGGGTGCTCCTCGTGGTATTTTTTTCACAAAGACCTCGCATTGTTCGATTACAAGTTCCAATTGACTCAGAAATTTAAGGCACACGACAATCCGCTTCGCTATCACTTCTCAATGTGGGCATTAGAACATGGACTTGTACGATATTTGGCCTCAGCAGGATGACAAACTATGCCACACCGCAATGGATCTTTTGCGCGCCAAGTTCGTTAATCGCATTATCATAAATCTCGGCGATGTCAATTGGATACGTCAGAGCTGCGATTTTATGCCGTTAGACTTTTTTCTGTGGTATGCCGTGAAGTACGGATGTTATGCGCACATTCTCTTAACGATTCAGGTACTTAACGCGAATATCGAGCAAGCGTTTCGTGAGATAGAGGCAGAAATCGCCACCTAAGTCTTGGAAAATTTTGTTAACAGGATGCGCTTCTGCAAAGCCAGCCGAGGCATCTTCATGAACGAAATCGTTTTCCTTAACTAATGGGAATATCTTCTCTTTCGATTAAACCAATAATATACCGAAAAAGTTTGATTTTCGTTATTTTGCTTATTTTTAAAAATAAACCACTATATGGACCACCCTGTACATTGAAAAAATTTGCACTTTGTAAGTGTCAATAGAAAGCAAATCTCTCCTGCCATGGTTATACTAAAGTGTTATTACATGTAGTCTCTGCTAGCAAATTTACAGTCTCGTAAGAAATTTAGGAATTCCAATGAGGGAGTATTTATATACTAAGAGCAGCTTGTGTAGGTGCTGCTAGAGAAATTAAGTCGTGTCCTTCTAATGCGCTTAATGTGATCCTGCAGCAACTGCTCACAGAAATACTCATGCGCGAAAATATTGCGTTCTCGGCAATCAGACTCAAAGGGTCAGGCTGCGGAACCGCGTGGCAGCACTGTCATAATGAAATTCTTGGTAAGGTTATCGAAAAGGGAAGCAACTCCTACTATAGATTTCAGGAACATTTTTCAGGAAGTTTCCTTCTAGATTGGATGGGAGTAGGAGCAGGATATTATATTTATCTGAGAAAATTAGAGTAAATATTGGCCTTCAACTTCTTGGGAGGTTGGTCGAGGAGAAGTCCACTGAAATCTAGACTGCGGTGTTCGTTCCGACAACCGAGTTCTGCTAGCGACTTCCAATCCGAAGTGCTGGGTATTGAGAGGGCCTGAAAGGTGTTAGAGAGAAAGGAAAAGCTTACGTTTTGGCCGATAGCCAAGCGGCATTTCTAGCCTCACCGGGAACAAAGTCTTAAATGTTCAGACATTGCAGATACGCATTAAGCTCGACGGTCATAGAAACATACATTGGAATGAGAGGGCTGATGAGTTGGCTAAGGCCGAAGCAACTCTAGATGAATACGTAGTAATTACTGTAAACTTTCCGCTCGGAGAACTATCCACTTGAAAAAGCCTTCAAACCTACAAAACTGCGAGGAATATATGGCCACGACAACGGGACATTGGTCCATTGGCGAAAATTCAGCCGAAATGGGTCTGCGCCATGGTAGCTTTTTCATCACTGTCAGCTTCCTCTGTTGTGGATTATGGCCTATCATCAAATGTACGAACTTTAAGGATGCCTAGTCCGAATTTGATTTTGTCCGTTCTGTACCTCAAGTTTTTAAGCGCCGTGTAATCTTATGCGATCAGCATTTCCTTCCCTGCCTGTGTTTTTGAATAGGTCAAGTACAGCTCTTCCACCGGGGCGCCCAAGGTTTTTTTACCCGATATAGTTCAAAATGGACTCAGTAGTCTTAACGGTAGCCTGAACCAGTGCGCCAAGGCCACAAGGTCGAACTTCTTGTTGCCACCACCAATGACTTTGACGCCCTTCTGCCAGCCAGCTTCATCCAAACTAATTCTTTGTTGTCTACTTCGGGCATCAATTCCATGCGCCGAACTTCTACAATTTCAGATGCCTTGAATTTCATTGATATCACTGTACATTTTCGGGTGGTGTAATGCATCTCTCTTGTCACTTATTAACGAAACCGATCTCTTGTAGACGTTTTTGGCCTTTTGAGAGCAGTTTAATTCCTCTTTGGTCTTTATATCATCTGGCGGCCTGCTTCCGACGAGAACGGCCGGGATGTTTTTCGGAGCAACCACATTTCGGATTAGCGGCCAATATATTTCACTTTGCTTTCCTGCGACAACAAATCTTTATTGTCGGAAGCATTTCTGAGTGTTAGAGTCCGAAGTTGGGGAAAAAAGTCATTGACTTATCAACCTGTCCTCGTAGAGATATGGGATTTTTTTTTAGCATTTTACATTTACACATATTTTCCTACAGTTCTGACTTGCCTAAAAACTGGTTTCTATGCGATTGCGCTTTCAATTCGTCCTTGCATAATATATGAATCCCGGAACTTCACACATTTCCCCAAATGAGGATCAAAACTAAACCGCTTTTCGAGCAATAAATATTTCCTCTCATTTCTGTTTATTTCTGATATTTTATTATTTTTATATGTAGTGCAAATAAATCCCTAAAAGGCACTCAGCCTTGTTAAATACACCAAAAGCTCAGTTTGTATCCAGAAGTCAAATAGGAGATGCAATAAAGCGAAGTTTTCGCACACTTCTTGAGGAAGTACTGTGCGAAAGGCGCGCCTTTATCGCAGTCTGACTGTCAATATATAGACTCACTTTTTTATTTCTTTCCTTTCCTTACGTGGAATACTTCTGCCGCCTCTACGCCTTTCTCCATCTTCGAGTCATCTGTATAGATATTCTCCGAGCCAGCACTCGTCATGCCCTCATGCCAGCTATCGACCTTTATAGTGCCATCGAAGCTCGTGCCAAAGTGCAGATTCGGTATGATGTAGTCAAGTTGACGCTATACTACTGTATCTGTAGGACCTGGCAGGAGTATTTGACGCTATATTCTTTGCAATAGGTCCGTAGGAAATAGGTGCAATAAGGTAATGTTGGCGTAGTTATGTGCCCCTGCCATGACGATCATCGATAGCCTATATACACTTTCTATTGTTTTGAGTAACGTTTTCTTCTCCCTTGTCATCCACCAAACCGACAACACATGGAACAGTATCGCCTGACTATCCCCGTGCAGATCCTCCAGGATGAGGTGCCACGACAGCTTGCTTTTGAGTATTATTCCAACTTACTTGGTGTGTTGCTTTCGCTGGAGCTTTACCCCATCCAGCTTAAAGTTAGACCAGTTGGGAATCTTGTATTTCCTGGCGAAGAGTACTAGATCTGTCTTTACTGTGTTGGTACTAATCCCCCACTTCAGTTGGCCAAAAATTAAGCTCGCGTAATGCTTGGCTCGTAATCTGAGTGCAAGACGGATACTTTCCGCTTACTATAAAATAAATATAACCTGCATATATGCAGTAAATTTGGCAGGCCACTTTCCATTTTCTTTAGTATCCTGTTGATCACCAGCGACCATAGTAGTACCGATAATACGCCCCTTACGGCGTACCTCTGTTAACCGGTTTAGTGGCCTCATGACAACCCTATTGCGTCGCAACACTTCTGCAGCTCAACATACTGCTTATCCAGTTCGAAATTACGGCATGAACCTATCGTCTAAGATGGCTTGCTAAGAGACATTTTTGAAGGCTCCCGCTTATTAAAGAAAACGCTTACTATCAATTCTCCATTCTGTCTCAATTCGTTGCGCCTTTGAGTGCATGCGCCGCGCTACATTTTGTTTGATGTATTTATATTGATATTAGCCTCTTCATGGCCCTTTGAAGAAACAATGTTAGCTTAATGGGCCTATAGTCCTTGGAGCAGGCGTGTCGGCTTCGTCTCACGCAATCCTCCAAGATGCTGGAACGTCGGTTAGCCTTAAACAGCCTTCGAATATGTTGTACATCCAGCCTCTGGCCTTCTTCCGGATCCGGCTTCTTACACTGCGAAATGATGCTCAAAGATCGGGATCAACTTATAAATAAATATATAGCCGATGTCTCGTAATCTATAGGTACTATATCGATGAACACAACGTTAAGCATATCACTAGGTGCATAGGTGTAGTTCCAAGGGGCGCCACTGCTTCCAATTTGGGCAGTTATTGGCACGTTCTGTTAAAACTTAGCTCTGTCGGCCCTATCTAGGTCTTCCTACAAAAGAAAGCACTAGGCAATAAAACTGATGACGATTGCAAGAAGGCAACAAACCATCTTGTACGCTGGCCAAACGCCCTTTTACAATAACCCATCTCTGGCTTCCAGGTTAGCTTACTGTCTACGGCCAAGCTCAGGTACTTTACCATGTCAGATAGCATGCCACACATTAAGGCTGGTTTAATAGCTTTCAGTTACCCAACTCGCTCTAATACTACAAAGGCGCTAAAGTGTTAATTTAAGCCTTCGCTCTTTACTGGCTGCCAAGGAAATCCACTTTTAAGTGCCAAATGGTAAATAGATTTCGCGCTTTTTAAACAATAATTTATCATAATCAAAAAAGAAATCGCAGACAATGAGAATTCTAGCAAACCCAAAAACAACAACAACAACAACAACGCACTCGTGCTGATCACTAAAGCTGAGAGTGTAGAAAAGCAACTGTCAATGAAAACCGTACGAACAAAAATCAGCAGCAGCAGCAGCAGCAGCAGCAGCACTCATACTGGGATGAGTTGATATGATAAAGTTGCCAGACATTTGGAGGCTGGCAATGCCATGATTTTTGATGCCTGATGTTGTGTTGAAAGTGTGTCTAAGAAAGTAGCGGTTTGAGCGCGCGCGCGCCCCATTGATCTAAACTGTTGAGTGGGTGCCAGCAGTTTTTCCATACAAATTCAAACGTCAATGGATGTAACACAAAAGCAATCGACCATGAAAGGGGCCAATAAAAAAAGATGGCAGTAAGTCAGCGCGGCACAGTTATGATTACAAGTTAGGCGAGAAAATGGCGAGAGGCCAACGAAAATCGCAGTCAAATAACAGTTAGCTGAGAAGAGCTAAGCCTAAGCAGGCATGCGGGTGGATATGCATACATTGGCAAAGACAACAGCAAAGTTAACTTCAATTTAAAAAGGCGTCATAATTTTCACCAAATTATCTGCTGCTGCATTTTACCGCAGAAATCAATTTTTCCACTGATTTTGCGCTTTCGGAAGAAGGCATGCTGATAGGGAGGAGCGAAGCTAGTATTTGGTAGTTCTGCTAGAGCAAAATATGAGTTGTTTTAAGTGAAAATTCTAAAATTCCACAAAAGTTTTGTGGCTGCTCGGCTGTTTTGTTGCGATTCGGCGGCATCTGCGGTATTGGAATTTGAAATTACAGTGAAAATCAAGTAGTAGTAGTAGGAACGAAGACTAAGAAGAAAGTTTGATGGTTGCAATAGCAAATAATTTTGTAATTTTGCCACAGCAATAATATAGGAGCACAACAACAACAAGGAACAGAGCAGCAGCAACAAAAACAACAACGATAAAATAATGCAGCAACGCCTTTTGAGCTGCTAACAAAGCGACAGCAACCACTTAACGCTACTGACGAACTAAGTAGACAGCTAACTAGCCGCAAGCAACTATGCAGCAGGCCGCAAGCAACTATCGATTACCAAACGAAACATCGACAACACACACGACTTGCTGTTGCTACTGCTGCATTACTTTCTTTTGTATTTTTTTTTTTAAGCGCTTTCTATGAATGCTTCAATGCATTTTTTGCAAGATTTTTTTTTTGTTGTTTTTAATTTTTGCTAAACAATTTTTGCTTAACTTTTTGTATTTCTGTTCTCTTCTTGTTTTGTTTTCCATTAAGGCGATAACGGGCGCATCGAGTACGCGATTACGTCGGGCGATGATAATAACGACTTTGAAATTGCTGCCAACGGTACGATACGTACACGCCGTGAACTTGATCGAGAAACGAAAAGTTCATATAATTTAATTGTAACCGCAAGAGATTGTGCCAAAGAATTTCCAACAACAACAACAACAACAACTGCACAAGTAACACACAACGAAGGCGCCGATCAACAGCAGCAGCAGCAGCAGCAGCAGCATCTTCAACATCACCACCACCAGCAGCTGCAGCGACGTCAACGCCAATACCGACAGCAACAATATGTGGAGCAACAACCGCAACAACGTCTATCATCAACAGTGCAGGTAATTTGCATGTAATAGAATAGAAAAATAATATGCTTAGTTGGGCAACTAGTATGTATAGTACTTCCTATACAACAATGCTCTTACTTAGTATACATACGTGTGTATAAATATTAAGGTGGTCCAAAAATGCATGTGAAAAAGTGAAGTCCGAATTTTGATGCTCTCACCCCCTAGGATTGTTCTGTACAGAAAAAAACATATCCATGTTTTTTTTTTTCAAATCAAAAAATATTCAGAGGTCGCTCAAAGCGCTCAAAGTTTTAAATTTTTTTTTGGTTGGTGAAAAAAACAATTTTTCGTAGAAATGGCATAGAATTACTGAAAATCAAGATTTTTGCATCGGAAGACTCTGCATCTCTTCAGAAGACTTCCAGTAATAATATTTAATTATTTATTTAACCATTTGTTAATGTTAACTATTTTTCATGGGCCTCCCATTGCATAGTTTCGGGTTTTTGGGGGACCTATGAAAAAGAGTTAATATTAACAAATGGTTAAATGAATAACTGGGTGTTATTATTGGAAGTTTTCTGAAGCGAAATAGAGGCTTCCTATCGAAAAAGATCGATTTTTACGAATTCTAAGCATTTCTATGAAAAATAGTTTTTTTTTCAACCAAAATACATGGAAAACTTTGAGCGCTTTGAGCGACCTCTAAATGTTTTTTTTTTATTTCAAATTAAAATATACAGGGTATTTTTCGGCATAGAAAAGAGAATTAAAATTTCGACTTTACTTATTTTGGACCACCTTAATGAATGGATATATATATATATATGTAATCGGGTGGACTGAAATTACGATTTTTTAGAACTTTTATTGTTAATAGCAAAAATATGGTGCATTGTACTCTAAAAGAAATCGGAGCAAAAGTTGGACATTTTCTGTCAATATCTTAGGCTCGCCCTAGTCAATCTAAATTGAAAATATTCAAAAAAATTGTCTTAGCTTGTTTCGATCGCAAAATTTAGTTCTCTACAAGAAATTTAATCTTACACAAAAGGCTACATTTATGAAATTAGTTGCGATTAATGGTTTCTGAGATAACTGCGATTTTTGTTATGAAGGCGTTACTTTTGGCCATGAAAGAAATATTTATGTGCGAAAAATATTTTTTAAATTACTAATTATCTGCAATTCCTCACAAAAGTTCTTTTTCATGAAGAAAACACACTTACATTATATTTTTTATAAAATTTTTGCTAAAATTATGTTTCAAGTCTTATTATTTGAACGCTAATAAATTGGTAATGACTGCAATTTAAAAAAAATATTATTTTGCTAGGACAAGTTTTTTTGGTAGAGTAGTAAACTTGCGTTCGATGTTAGTAAAGAAAAAATTTTTAGCTATTGACCGAAAATTTTCAACTTTCGCACAGACTTTTTTAGATCATAATCAACAATATTTTTGCTATTACCAATACAAATTCTAAAAAAAAAAATGGATTTTCGACCCACCCTAATATCCGTATAGGAATACTATATGCACATACATATATATATCTAGTAGAATAAAATCGCTGTGAAATTTCGTGCAAACTTTGCTAACGCTTACACATGTCTGCCTGTGTGTGTGTGCGTGTTTAATTGGTACGCGCTGGGTCTTAAATTCAAGTGTAGTTAAAAAGGTGGCAGGCCTTCCGCATGCACCAAGTGGCCGATGTAGTGATGTGGCTATACGGCTATGCCGGTGGCCCGTTGTTGTGCTGATGAGCTGTTAAAGACGCTGTGGTATGCAGTTATAGCCGATGGGAAAATGTTGCATTGCAGACATGTGGATAGCTTAGCGAACAAAGAGTGCGAATGCATCGTAGGGAAATTTACTAATAAGAAACAAATGGCGTAGTGCGCTGTACAGCAAATATTAAATAAGTTTTAATAAAATTAAAAAAAAAAATATAACTAATTTGCGCTCGCTACTTTAGGTGTAATTTAAATTTTTTTTAATAAAAGTCAGTATACACTGCCGGAACAAAGTATTGGCACAGCAAATTTTTTACAATATATGCAACAATTTTTATTCTAATATTTTTCCGCCAATTTTGAATAAAAAAATGGTTCATTCTACAACAAAAGACATAAAAATAGAATACCTTAACTTTGTGCAAAACTCCAAACTTTTTTAACCTACCTTCAAAATATTAATTCAAACTAAAACTTTATTAAACTTATTTCTTGTGATACTTATTCCCTAAATTCTAGCCGAATTTCAGGTGATAACACTCACACATTTAGAAATAAGGTCTTTTTAAAACCATATCGAGTGCTACCCATATTGTAGTTATTCAATTAAATAAATAGTATTTAATTTTTAAAAAGGTGGCAATCCTTGCAAAACTCCTCAGTTATATTGAAAATGTTCAAATTAAAATTGACTTTTCAAAAAAGGGGCAACCCCTTTCAAAGTGTTGTCAGACTACAACCTTCAAAGCCACTTGCGTTTGACACCCATATTTTTATTTTTTTAAATCATTCGTATAAAAGTCGTTAACATTTTTCGCAGTTAAGAAGGTGTTGGGAAACAAAAGTTTACTACGACTTATACAAATGACTTTTATAAGTACTAATGATTTAAAAAATAAAGGTCAGTGACTGACTTTTATTTATGACTTTTATAAATAAAAGTCTTCGATAACTGTTATCAAAGACATATAATTTAAAAATCAAAAATAACTGTTATTTGCAGATTATCTACATAAAAATTAAAAATAATTGTTATTTTGGATTTAGAAAATAAAAGTCAGAATTAACGGTTTTTTAAGGAGTAATTAAATAAAAGTCAAAAAACAATTGTTAAAGAGCGATTTTTTTAATAAAAGTTGTAACTGCTACGGTCCCTAGCTTTAAGCTGATCTAAGTGATACCAGTGTGCAAAATTTCATGATAACCGCGTGAGTAGTTAAAGCCTGAAAGGGTAACAAACAAATAAACTCACTATAATAAAGTGCAAGTTTTAAGCGATTGAAAAACTGGCGTAAATTTTTAATTTTTTATTTCTTTTTAAACCGTTTTGCACATTTTCTTCCATAAGAAAAAAGTGCAAAAAGCCGTAAGCATAAAAAATATTAAAAATCAACGCAATTTTTCAGTAGCTTTCACTCACTTTTTTCTATGTACATTAGAGTGGTGCAAGTTTTGAATGGAGGAAAAAATGTCATCGTAGAAAACGGGGTATTTTTAATATCTATAACAACATTGATTTTTTTACTGTAACCAATATTGGGTGCTGAATGACCTTGAAATGCGCAACTGATCCGCTTTGCAACTGACAAAAATATTGGTGAATTTTTATAAAAAGCTACTGTTGCCATCACAACTGCAATAGCTTTTTAAACAATTATTTGGTTAATATATGTACAATACACTATAACTAGAGTAAAATATAAACATTTCATGAGCATCTTCTAATTTGTACTTATAAACGTAAAAATTGGTGAAAGCACCCACCGCATACGGAAAAAGGAAAGATTTTCGAAGGTGGCCCAAACCCTATCTTGGAAAAAATTCCTTAAACCACTCTAATATACATACCTACATACTTATATGCATAAACATTTAATATATCAACAAATGAAGAAGTCATGAAGGTCGTGATGGAGTTTTTAGCATGACTTCTAAGGGTGTTAGTACTGTGAAGATAGGACCATTACATCCACGCGGAAATAGTCAAATTCTGAGGTACGAAAGCATGCCCTCCCCTCTGATGTGGTCCACTCTGGTGGACAAACTATTCTACCATCTATGTGAAAAGGGTTTAGATATTCAGAGCAACGCGGATGAAATTTCCATCCTAATCAGAGGTATTTCGTATTCCAAAGATATCAAGATACAAAAACAATTTAATGCATATGAAAATAAAAATAAAATCGGTTTCGTTTGAGGATTGACTTTTTACTTATTTTTTTAACCGACTTCACAAAAAGGAGAAGACTATCAATTAGTCGGAATATTTTTGTTTTATTCTTTTTTTTTTGTGTATGTATGTTACCGCATAACTTTGGACGACGTTAACCGATTTCTATAATTTTTTCAAAGCAAAGGTGTTACCTCAGAGGTGATCCCATGCTAATTTGATTTAGATCCGATCATAAGGTCTTGAAGAAATTAGCGATAGTCTTAAATTTGTATATGGAAATTCAAGTCGGATTTGTTTTTTGCTTAAAATTACTTGTTTTCATTTAAATTTATTTGCTGTTATTTTCTTTCAAGCACTACTTTTTTTGCCTTCACCAGGAATTTAAACATGTGTTTGCATTCTAACTGACAAATATTCACATATAACTGCATACATATCGATGGTCCTGTGCATAAACGACACAATTCAAAATTCAAAAAATAAAATCTGTTACTACTCTTAAGTGGCTAATGTCTGCAATCTTTGTCGAAACCATGTCTAATTTTTTGTACTTACTTTAGCAATCATTACTGCTTACTTTAGTAAGGGATGGAAATGGATTAGACAAGGATTATAGACATTAGCCACTTAACAGTAGTAACAGTTTTTATTTTTTTTTGAATTTTGAATTGTGTCGTTACTGCATAGGACCATCGATATGTATAAAATATGTATTAGGGCGGTCCTTAAACAACATGTGAATTTTACGTAGGGCACGACTTTATTTTGTTCTACGTACAAAATAAAGACAGCCACGAAAATTGCATACTTTTAAATAATTTTTTAGTGCTCGCTACCAGGGTTTGAAAAAATTTAAGTTTTTTAAATCGCAACATTTCGACTTGAAATCTGATAAATTTTACATATTATTGAAACTTATTCATAAAATTTCATAAGCTTGCTGAGTTGCTGCTTGTCAAAGTCAAATTGTTTTCGATTTTTTGCTACTTAGAAAAAACGTTAGTTCCAGGTACTCAAAAAATTTAATTTATAAACATCTGTGTAAGGCTTGTCAAAAAATTTGGAGATTCAGTTTCTTACGAAAATAGGTGAGGTAAGAAATAAGGCATTAATTTCCTTTCATTTCGTACATTTTATCGGG